TAAAAAAAAAATCCACACAGTACTACATCCTACATTTTTTTTGGGAAAATCATAGTAAAGGACTTCTAGAGTATTTTATCTATAGAAAAAGATTACAAGATTTTGCATTCACTCTACAGGATTAAAATATAATTAAATTTTAGTATACAAAGATAAAACTATTCCCTATTTTTTTTTTTAAAAAAATGTCCCATGGTCACCGGCCATTAGAGTTTCAGCATCAATGGCTTGACCACTCTATCGGGCCTAATGCCAAAACTCCAACATCAGTGACTGAATTGCTCTCCAATGCCAATCATTGAATTGATGAGGGAGATAAATTAAATTTTTTTAAGGTGGTCAAGTGAAGATATGGACCTACATTCCTTTGGCCATCAAAAGAATAGTCAGCCACTAAATTAATAATTTTTTTCAATTATATAATGTAAATTTTTATATATATTTTACTTTATTTTTACTTTCCATGCTAATACTTTTTATGAACTTAATGATTCCTTATCATTTCGTAAATGACTACTTGTTAAATTACTAATTAGACTTATTAAACAATTTAATATGCACTTACTTTTATAAATATTTATTTATTTTTATTACCAAAAGCTTATATGTCAAGAGCTTATATGCACTTATTATTTTACTAAAATTTACTTGTTAAATTATTAAAAAAATGTTTAAAGCTAATAACGAAACTTATCATTTTACATATAGTTTTTTGTTCAACTAACAAAGGAAACTTGTTAAAGAAATTTAATATGAAGTAATTTTTATAAATATTTACATGTTTTTATTATCAAAAGCTCACATCTTAGAAGTATAAACTTGTTATTTAACTAAAATTTATTTGTTAAATTATTAAGAGAAATTTTTAAAGCCAATAACAATATAGAGTGGTTTTTTATAAATATTTACTTTTTTATTATTAAAATTTCATATGTTAAAAATTTATATGAACTTGTTATTTTGCTAAAATTTACTTGTTAAATTATTAAGAGAGATTTTCAAAAACAATGACGAGATTTGTCATTTTATAAATAGTTACTTGTTAAATTATTCATGAGGATTTATTATTAAATTATTAAGAGAAATTTTTAAAATTAATAACATGATTTATCATTTCACAAATAGTTACTTATTAAATTATTACTGGAGACTTATCTTTTTAAATCATAAAAACAAGTAAACATTATAAAAACTAGTGTATATTAATTTTTTTAACAAGTTTCATTAATAATTTAACAAGTAGCTATTTTTGAAATAAAAAGTAACTATTAAGCTCCTAATAAGTATTAATATAAAAAGTAAACACACACATACTAACAAGTAGCCATTTTTGAAATAACAAATAACCATTAAGCTCTTAACAAGTATTAACATAAAAAGTAAACACACACACACAAAGATTTGTATTATATATGTGAGATGGATTGCTAGTCTAGTGGTTAATTATTTATTTGGTCACCAAGGAGATATGGGTTTAACCATCCAGCTACTTTAAAAACTTTAATTTGTCTCCCTAAATCCAAAAGCCGATGATGGTAGGGAGATTTTTTTTTTAAAGGTTAAAGTGCTTTTTAATTCTTTAACTTTATATAAAATTTTAATTTAATTTTTTTAATTTTAAAAAATATCTTTTTAGTCCTCTAATCCTGACATTGTTTGTTTTAAATAATTATTTACATGCTAATCGTTGTTATTTCAAAAAAAATTAAACTAAATATGACAACATTTAAAAATATTTTATCAAAATTCAAAAGTTTATTGTATAAATCTTTTTTATTATGAAACTAAAGATGTTATAGTTAAAGGACTAAAGATATGCTTTATAAAATTAAAGAATTAAAATAAAATATTACGTAAAATTAAAAAAAATTAAATATATACTTTAGCTTTTTAAAAAATGAAGAGTAATTTTGTCTTTTAATATTAAAATTTAATTATATTTTGATTTATTGATCCTGCAAAATGAGTTTAAAATTCTTTGATCCTTTTCTATAAATAAAATGTTCCAGAAGCCCTTCGCTATGATTTCCTCTCTCTCTCGCCTTTTTTTTTGGGTTAGATTGGTGGATATTTCGTAACGTTGAAAGGAAGATACTATAAGATTAAGATAAATTATGGGGCACAGTAGAAAAAACAGTAAAAATATTGTACAAATGACACTAATTCAATGCAATTTAAAAAAAGTAAAGAAGATATTTGCACGCGGAGACCCTACTAATGTTTAATAATAAATTAATAATATCAAAAGGCAAAATTCTAGTTTCATTTCACTCTTCGCTTCCTTATTTCTCCTTGGCTCCTCTCTTTTCGCCGCGGTGAGTCCTAATGAACTGCAACATTTCCACTTCGAGCTCCTCTGAGACGGTTTAGTGTGAAATGTCTTCTTTTCTTTTGTTTTGGTTTCTTTCAAATCTCTTTCATCCTCCATCTTCATCTGCTGTCTTCTGTCTTTCATTTCCTGAACCGATTAACTCGCTGAACCGATTTTTGACCAGTTGAATCAACCGACGGTCCGGGGTCTTTAAGCCTTGCTATTCAATGATGGTCTTATTATTATTCCAGTGGGCCCACCTGGCTTAAAGGGCCTTCTCCTCTTCCTAGCCACATGAAGCTGATCAAATATATCTCTTGGATCTCAGTCTGCTGCGTATACAAGTCCCTGCCGCATGTAATCAAAATATCAATAAATAAATTCTAAAACCTCCTTCATAAACACCGCGTATTGCAGTGTCTCTTCCAATTTCATGGGACAAATATTCACTGTATTCTCATTTCTCACGCGTCTCCAATTATTTTATTCTCTCACACAAGATCGTAGGTCCTCCACCGAACATGGAGTCTATCCAGTGTAACCAGCCTGCCCTGCAATAGAATGTGACCGATCGAGAAACTTCCTTTTATTACAGATAGGAACCTCCTATATATTTCTTGTTGAAAGAAAATGACTCATTTAATGTGGGTACGAATTATAAATTCAGATCGTTAAGATCTGGTTCCCTTCCACTATGAATCCAAAGATCTTATTCATGAAAATGAAAGGAAAACACCAGTTTCAAAGTAGTTGACAAAGACACGTCTATCAGGCCTTCAATGCTCGACGAGACACAACGTAAGTTCGGTAACTTTCATTTAGATTTTTTCAAACATGGCTGAAATTTAGTGGCTCTTAAGAATTATTAAGTACAGAGAACAAACTGTAAAATATTTTTCTCAATTAACTCATGAACTGTTCATGAAATAAGAGTAGAGCAGCCGGATCAGCCTCAGCCGCCTATATTATTGCTTCTAATCAAGTACTATTGTTTTAGCTGGACATTCTTTTCCTTCCCTTCTCCTTAGTAGTTTGTCTATAAATGCATCGACTTGTTTTGGAAACTGAACTGGGAACTTGTGTGGTAAAATGAGTGAGGGAGAGCAACAATCACAGCCACAGATAGTATTAGAAATTGATGATCCGATCACAAAAACTGAATCACATCCCAAGTTTATAATTCATGTCCTGTCTTCTTTATCCTGCATCTTATCTAAGATCCATGCCGGGTATTTCAGGATCGCTCTTGCTCTGGCCAGTCAAGCTTTACTCTGGAAATTCCTCATAGAGCCAATCCAAGACGCGCATGCTCTTAGACGCTTGTTTTTAATAATACCCTCCACGGCTCTCATTCTCCTATGGTCAGTAGCATTAGCCACACTGGTCACACTTTCTATTCTCTACACCCTAAGATGCTTCTTTCACTTCGACAAGGTCAGGAAGGAGTTCTTAGACCCCGTGGGAGTAAATTACCTGTTTGTCCCCTGGATCTCCGGGTTGTTCCTGCTACAATCATCACCCCATATTCCTCCAACCACGGTACATTACCAAGTATTTTGGTTGGTGCTTGTGGTTCCTGTGGTGGTTCTTGATGTGAAGATCTATGGGCAGTGGTTCACCAAAGGGAAGCGACTTTTGTCGATTGCGGCAAACCCAACGAGTCTGTTATCGGTGATAGGGAACTTGGTGGGGGCGCAGGCTGCTGCGAGAATGGGTTGGAGAGAAAGTGGCTTGTGCATATTTTCTTTGGGGATGGCTCATTATTTGGTGCTATTTGTGACGCTATACCAGAGGCTAGCAGGAGATAATAGCCTCCCTGCAATGCTGCGTCCTGTTTTCTTCTTGTTCTTCGCCGCACCCAGCGTGGCTAGCTTGTCCTGGCATTCCATTTCTGGCAAGTTTGATGATTTCTCCAAGATGCTCTTCTTCCTTTCGCTTTTCCTCTTCATGTCCCTGGTAAGATTTTACTATTTGATCAAAATATATGTGATGTTTTATATATCTCTTTTCAAACCAGTGAGTATGGGTAATGAAAGGCTAACTTGGTGACCTTTGATCGATATCAGGTTTCAAGGCCCTTGCTATTCAAGAAGGCGATGAAGAAGTTCAGTGTAGCGTGGTGGGCCTATTCGTTCCCTGTGACGGCTTTAGCCTTGGCTTCAGCACAGTACGCACATGAGGTTAAGGGGGTCATAGCCCATGCGCTTATGTTGCTGCTATCTTTAGTTTCTGTGTTGGTGTCCCTTATCTTAATGGTCGCTACTGTTATCCATACTCATAAGCCCCCATCTCATTCTAACACACCTCAGAACGACTGTGCAGCCACGTCTTCAAGTATTGACTTAAATTAATCCCTTCATGCATCTTTTTGTAGCACAAGATGCACTAGTTGAACTCTAGATTTTGGGTCATCTACATATGTTAAATTCAACTTAATGTATCGGACCAGATCACTGCTGTAAATTGATCAGCCTGTGGGAAGAAAAGCTTGTATCGTCGCCTTGTTTCCCCTTCTGCCAAAATTACTATAATGTCCTAAAGATAGTATTTATTTATGCCGGAGATTGTGTTCTTTTCTTTCCTTCCTTTTCTTATCCCTCTGATTATTCTGATAGCAAAAATTTTTGTGAGCTTGAAGCTCAAATGTTTGAGCAATAAAAAAAGTTACATAGTACTTGATCGCCGCAGTAATACTTCATATGGGTGAGATTTAGAACTCCAACTTCATAAAATATGAATTATTGCCAATTGGATCTGCTTGATGGCATTACAATAAAATATATGAAGGGTGGTGACCAGATTACCCTTACAATAAAATAATGTTTTTGGGGAATTACAATTACTCTCATTTCAGCCTCTCATTGTGTCTCGTTTCATGCTGATGCGGGTTACTCCATTTGTTGGATATTCCAACTGGTTTTTCTGTCGAGCTCACCCAATTCAACCTGATTCCTCAGGTGATCTTGCATTGATGTGTCATGCGAATCAAAGAAATTTGGGGCAAATTAGTCCTTTGGTTTCAACACTTCATTGTTTATTCCTTAATCTCCAGTACCAATCCTCCACCTCAACTACGGAATGATTTGGTCTCATCTTCAATGGAAAAGGAATGGGAGAAGGAATACTTTTCAAGCATACCAAACACAATGTTAACGCAACGAAAGGAAGAAAACGCACAAGTGGAGCGGAGCCATATATTTTGTTTCATTGCGATTTGGAATTGATAAACTTCTCCTTTCTCTTGATTATGGACTGAAAATACTGAGTGAACAATGAACTTCATATTTCCTTCGTAAGATACCCTAAGCATACAGTCAACAATTCCTGTTTTATAAGGTCAATGACATGTAATGTGGTCAAAAAAATATTAATACAAGTCAACTCAAGAGAAAGGCAGAGCTGCGATAAGAGACTGGCAAGCATTCACTGACCTGTTTGAAGAGCAGCGTGCACAAAAAATGGACCTAAGAAGCCGCCCCCAGTACCAATTGCAATAACATCCTTCAAAGCCTTTCCTGTAGCTTCAACCTACAAAAGATAACAATTCTCAACACTCTCAAGTTCCATAATTTTCCATATGGGAAAATTTAGTGGTAGATTACCCAAGATGCACTGCGGACCCTCTCAGAGAATTCCTGGATCTTACCCAGGACTTTCCAAACTTCTGGAGCGACACTCTTTCCATCACTGTGTGTAACAGCATCCCTTGGAGCAGGAAGGGCTACATGAGGCACTGATCTATTCTTTGTGCTGTTAATCTGAAAGTCCACTACAAGAAGCACAAGAATTAATGACTCGGGCAATTTAGGACCCGAATCCATTATACATATATATATATATATATATCACTTGTATTCAGCAGTGTTACGATGTACGGAACATTCAAGGCAAGATTTTCAGACATCTTTTAGAGATCTAGTAAAAACTTTCCATTAAAAAAAAAAAGGAAAAGGAAAAGAATTGTGTTAATATAGACAAGTATATAGTAGGTGTACTTGAGACTAGTTATATGTGTCCATAACCACTTACATGCTCCCTATTGTACATGCTGTTAATCTTTTGTTTCAGAGATGCAGCCTATATATCAGCACAACCAACAATAATAAGATGGCAGTATATCAGTATGGTATTTGACTTTTGGTTTAAAAGAACGGACCACACAAGTGCTAAAAGAATAAATTTGCTCTTGAGATCAATATATGTAAGCCAATTCAAAGAGTTTATTCATTGTTCCAAGAGCAGCCTGTTGCCTCGAGTAATCCAGCAGAATTCCATCAAACTCACTACAGAGGCAAAATACATCAAAGTCAGAAAGATATCCATCACAATGCAAGTGTTTTTGTGTTTCTTAATATTCTAAGTGCAAAGGAAAGTATGATATTTTTATCCTAATCTTTCAACATCATTAAATCCTCAAAATTGCAGGCTCTTTATTTCATTGTTACGAGCTCTAAATCATATAATGGCGCATCATAAGTATATATAGCATCATGCACTGCCATTGATTCACATCTTTTGACATCACCCAATAGATCACGTAAATGGGTCTTTTTTATCTCATCAACAGGGGCATGGAAAAAAATGAGCACTTGTTAATAGTATTTTTTTGCAGCAGTTCAACATATTACAAGCAAAAAAAGTATTATCCCAGTTACCTTCAACTCTTCCCAAGGTTGAGAGTCACTAATGAGAGTGGAGGAAGCCATTTGGAATTACGATCACTACTCACTAGCCTGCACCAAGAAATGCCGCCAGTTTAATATGATGTTTGCCCAACTGTCAACGAATTTTTTTTTTTTTTTTATGTTTCTATCAGCATTCACAAGTGTCTAAAGACAAAATAATAAGATAAAGAAATCGATCGATTAACATCATACAAAAATCAATTCTTCAAAAAAGTTCAGTGCAGATAAATAGTTGTATATTGTATTCTATTCTAGAGAAGTCGAGACTTAAAAATATGCAACGATTTTCTAGAGCTGGAACAGTGTATCGCCACGCAACGCCAATCAAAAGAAAACCCAAAGTATCCTCAGTTTACAGAGAATCTAACAGACACTCAAATTGTGAACGAAAAAAAAAAAGAATTAGAAAAAACCCATTGTTTATTATTCGAACACCATGCACATTTAACAAATTCATAATCATCAAAACTCCTTTGGCGCAGCAAGAAGCATGATGGATTGAAACATCGTTGATTTTAGAATAAAAATAATGATATCAGCATCCATAAATCACAGATGACAATCGCTGAATTTAGCTATTACCAATTCAGAATCCAACTTAATCTGATTTTAGAAGCCATTTCCAGCTCATATAGCATCCACTAATAATGCATGGAAACAAACAAACAGTTGGAGAAAGACAACGTTGCTGATGTTAGTTTGTTCAAGTGTGAGTGGATAAAAAACGATATAAGACTTCTTACATCGGATAAAGTTAGGTTTAATAACTAGTATATGATAAAGAGGGAGAACTCATAAACTTAAGTCTTAAAGTTTTGAGTTAAAATATGGCATTCTTCTGCTGCTTTTGCCCGTTTCTCCTCTCCTTTTGGTTTCGGGTGATCGCTTTTCATTCCTAACAAATGGTATTAGAGCCAAGCGAAACTTGGGACTTGTAAACCCATTATTACTCACACGTTTGAAGCCCAAAAATGGGATTAGCTCTAGTTGCTATAGGGACTTGTGTGCGCTACATCATTTGAAGCTAAAAAACTAAATTGGTCCTAAAAAATAAGGGACTTGGTGTTTTGAGTATCTTTAATATGGGAAGCTTGTAAATTCATACTTGAAGGGGAGATTATTAGGTTGTTCAAATGTAAATGGACATAAGACAATATTGGAAGTTTCACATCGAATAAAGTTGGGCTTAATAATTAGTATATAACAAAAGAGGAGTATCTATAAACTTGAGTCTTGAAATTTTGAGTTAAGATGTGGTGTATTTCTGCTGCTCTTGCTCGCCTCTCCTCTCCCTCAGTTATCAAAGCCAGGTTTCGCCTGAACTTGTAAACCCGCTATTGCTCACACATGTTGGCTCTAAAAAATAAGGGATTTAGTGTTTAGGCATATTTGATATAGGAAATTTGTACACTCACACTTGGACTTAATAACTCACATTATAATAAAGAGAAAGGAGTCATAAATTTAAATTTTGAGATTTTTTCTCATTCCTAACAGACACATTATAATATGCGGAAACCTCAATTTCAAAAAGTTAAGCACAAATAAGAGCTCAACCGAGTGTATTTATCAGGTAATTGTTAAGATAGCGTAATATGCTGAAACCGAGATTCAGCATCTAAATACGCATTGCACGCAGTTTCTGGCAATTGTGCGTAGCAACGAATGGTTTGAATAGAATTTGAGTAATGGTTTGATAACAGGAGAGAGAGAAAATATGCTGAGAGAGAAAGTGCTCAACAAGAATATAAGATGGAAGAAGAGAGATGGTCTGACTTTACCAATGGTATAAAGAAAACGATAGTGGCGACATGGCGTCAGGTTCTGGCCTTGTGGGGACGGAGAGCAGATTGAAACGAGCGAGTTAGAACCTAGGACACTGATTATGTGGCAGCTCGCTGGACTGAACCATTCAGGGTTGGTTTCGATGCTACCTGCCAGATCCGCCACATTTATGCTTACATGTTACCATAGTCCATAGAAGCAGGCAAGACGTAGATACTACTTGATACTTTTAATCAATAAATGAGTTTTATTGTTATAATATTATTAATAACAATAACTTATTATAAAATAAATAATTTATGAAAAATTTATATGTCTTGAGGCTAAGTATCTAAAACATGACTAGTCGATTTCGACTACCATTACAATTACAAACAGCATTGTTTATTGTAAGCTCTATTTATATTAATTAATATATTTATAAATTATTAACACATAAATATCATCAATATAATATAGAACTTATATGTTTTTGGTGAAATATTTAGTTTTACAATCCACTGATCATAAACAATTTTATCATCAGTTATATCTAATTAATCTAAATAGCATATATTTCACTTTACCCCATATTCTCATCTTTCATTCAGTGGTAGAGCCAAAACTCTATATTAGAGAGACAAATTTATTTAAATATATATTAATAATTAGAAAATAAATTAATAATTACATACTTTATAAATTATCTATATGATGGTTTCATGTTTTAGAATGATTGAACAATTAGCTCATTTTATTTAAGACTCATGTAGAATTAAAATTTAAAATATCAAAATGTAGGAGTGCAAAATATGAGAAAGAGAGGGTGCAAAATAAAAAAAACTTGTTTACTAATATGTAATTTTTTTCAATAAGAGGGGCATATGTCCACCCTCAACCCCCAATTACAAGCAGATTCACTTAGGAATATTTAACTTTATATTTGTCTTAGTCAATCCAGTCCTATTTCAATCATATTAAGATGAGGGTTTTTCAATTCAAAAGGAGGGATGGGATGGGATATGGAGCTGTCCCTTTGGATGTCCTTATATATATATATATATATCACACATATATATAATAGACATTAAATATAATAATTATATCCATATAATTTATAAATATATTAATTATATTTATAACTAATATAAGAATAAATTATACTAATTATAATTTCAATATTTACAATCCCTATTCAAAGCTAAAAGTTTTTTATACTTATAATTTTAATAACATGAAACAAACAATACAAGGTAATCTCTTTTTTTTTACCAATATATTAATTACATTACTATAATTTATTCTTATATTTACTTATTTAATAATTTTATATCATATTTTTGTTTTATTTTCAAAACAGCCAATAAATTCAAATATATTTCAATTAAAGAAGAAAAATAATGACTTGATATTATGTCTAGTTTATCTATTGATATTGCTCTTGTAACCTAAATGTCATTTGATGTTGTTGTTGTCCTGATATGTTATATCTTATGTGCAATTGACTTTAAATTGTAGGCTTGTAGTTTTGATTGATATAACTCAATAATTAACTTTAAATTATTTTGATTTTTATACTCATTATTTTAGATTTAAACTAAACAAGTTTTGTGATTTAATATTTTAATGAATGTTCTTAGGTCTCTCTTGCATGTTGTCCACTTTATTGAAATGTTCTAATTTAATCCCAATCTCATCTCAATTTTTCATGAAACGAGATGAAGGATAAAAATTTAATTTCAATCATTTATTGGGATAGGACACAAGATTGAGGTGCCTTGGTCCTGTCCTCAATAGGAGAGAATGAGAAGAAAGGTTTGGTCCTCATGTTCTTTTAAGTTTTTCTCAAGATACGCAATGCATTTAGTTTCTAGATCAGAACGAGTTGCCTCTTATCGAGAACAAAGAACCAATGATAAATGATTAGAAACAAAGAAGACACGTGAGAAAAGATTAATAGGATTAAAATTCAATTTCGATTGGGTTTATTGGGAAAAAAAATATTCAACTTATTAGTATAAGGTATTCAACACTTTTTGAAGGAAAAGACATGAAAAAAATGTAATTTAACCCTAAAAAATTGAATGGTTTTTTTGTACCCTTAAAATTATTTTTTTGAAAATTCACACTTGTTAGCAACTGCTATTGGTGGTATTTTTTTTACTGGTCCAAAAACATGAAACAATTTAACAAAAAAAAATCATTTAAGCTTCTCGATCAAACCAGATAAACCAATCATGTTCATAATTTCTATCAAAATAGAGAATTATACTAGGCTTTTTCATAATCAAAATAATTGTATACTTGGTCATAATAATTTATTGGAAAACTTTTGGATGTATAAGAAGAATAACTCCAAGTAGTTACAGTTAATACCTTATGAATTTTTATTTGGCTATAAAATATTTTGATCTTTTTCTTTATGAGTAATCATAAAGGATTTTGTAGCCACGTACCAAGATTAACTCATAATACCTTCTGCCTTTCTTGGAATTTGTTGAAATAAAAATTCACATTTCTTCTTCTTCGTGGGGCGAAAAAATTATCATTATTATCTCAACAACTCTGATTCTAAAAAACAGACTGTCATGATATATTCTTTTAAAATGTATTGGCTTGTGTTTGTGTTTTTTGGTTTTTGACTAAATAAAAACTTGCTATATGTCTGGGTTTTACTAGGGTTGGTTTTATTGAAAACATAGTCCTCTATCTTTAATGACTAAATATTTTTGGTTAAATATTTGAAGAAAAGTATTGCTTTTTTATTTGGTGGAAGATGATGTCCTTCCAAGCAACCTTGCAGCCCTTTGAGAAAGCATTTTAATGTTGCTCCCTTTTCAATACGTATGGAAATACTAGTGTCATTGGTGATACATCTTCTCGCGACTTAAGATTATAGGAAACTGTAGAGAATTCTTATAAGGCGAGCTTGTTCTGATTCTATTGACAATTTTTATGTGACGGTGTTGGTCATATATTGATGTTTGTTTATATTCTAATATTTGTGTGTTTTGATTTATCTGTTGTATTTCTTTTACAGGGAGCCTAGATATCTTAAGTTTTCATGTATTAATTATTTTATTTTAATATAAGTTTGAATGAACTTTAAAAAAAAATATTTCAAGGGGATCAACCTTTA